AATTCCAATTGCCTACTGGTAGCCCAGTGGACTGGACAGAGCAGCTCTATGGGCCAGATATGGCCTATAGGCTATATGTTTGACACCCTTGGTATCTACCTATACAATGGGATGTGGCTCTTTGAAAGGCAAACACTACATGGAACAAGTGTGGAATGTTGTAATTCTGTTGCAAGGTGGAAACACTAAAAAAAGAGAGCATAACAGTATGAGATGGAGAGGAGTTACAGGATGAATTCTGGAAATGGAAAATTTAGACTCAGTAGCATGATATGTTTGTAAACATTTGAGTCATTTAAAACCAGCCCAGATGGAGTATTTGAAAGAAAGGTAGGGCACACTGGTAATAAGATGGCCTGCTATTCACTGAATAGGACATTTTCACTCAGTTCTTAAAATCTTGAAATGGAAGGAAAATACCTAGCTTCAAAGCCTTTTCATAAAGAGCTAAGCTCAATATATGTAGCAAGCCATAACCACTGAGAAACAGGCAAAAACCCCATATGCTCAGGTTCGTAAGTTACTGAATATTTGGAACCTAACAACGAAGAGTCTAAAGCATAGGCATCAACCTGACTTTGTACTCCAGGCTGGATCTGGACCATGCGGCTCCTTGCAGTATCTCTGACACAGTACATGAGGCAATGGCTCCAGCTCTAGCTCTGCCTGGCCTGGAGCACACAGTAGCAGCAAAGATAGCAGTGGTGACTTTGGCAAGCAGCAGCAGCAGAGGAGGTGGGACAAGCACTGTGTGGCAAGCCTGCGTGGGCAAATGGCCACTTGCTGTAGCAGCGGCAACAGGCCAACTGGCCTGTATCAGCCCTTGTATCAACCCCTGCCACTAATCACTATGTCTACTGCAGCTCAAGCCCCCCCCAAAACAGTCTGTGGCATGTCACTTCCCTTGGTCATGGCTTCCAGCTCCAGCTGCCCACCAGTAGCCTGGCGTGCTGTATAGCACAGCTGCATAGGCTGGATCCAGCCTGTAGGCTATGTTTAACACCCTTGGTCTAAAGGAATAATCCAAGTGCTTCTGCATACAAATAAGCAGAGCTTGCCCAAGTCTTTTTATGTTCGATGATCCTGTGAACAGTGATATTTAACTTTCCATACATCTTTCTCCAAGTCAGACACTCACTTTAGTGCCACAAAGAGCTGGAGGAACTGCCTAATGCTTCCTAAGGTGCCAAACATTTCTTCTCAGGAAAGATTCATATAGCCTTTTTCCCCAGAAGCTCTAACTTACTGCTTGCAGACAGCCTTTGAAATGTAGCAGCGGCCAATGCCTTGAGCTAAGAAAGTGGCTTTTTTTTGTCCCGTGAAACACTATTCAGGTTTTGTCAAGATAAGTGGATGAAAAGACCATTCCTTTCTCTTGAATTACACGGGGAAATTCTGGCAGCCCCCAGAACCAGAAGCAAATATGGATATTCTAAGACTATCCTCAGGCTTCTGCTCGAACAGCAGCAAAACCCTTCAAGGGAATGTCTGGGAATTAGCAAAGCAGCTGAAGTGAGGGGATGGGAAAGAGCCAGGCCAACTTCCTGCCCCATACCCAGGAACCCTCAGCAATAAGATCAGCAGTATATCCCTCCCCTGGCATAAATAGCCTTCTAAAGCTGCCGGTCCCTAGTGCCAGGTGTTCACATTCAGTTTGAAGCACTGCTTATGACATAATAGAAGGAATGCTTTTGTTTGTAAGAATTTACCTTTTTCCTCAAAGATCTAGGGAGTTCCACACACCCTGGGATTACATGACATTATTTATGGATTTCTCTACACAGGACCGTTTCTGCTGTCAGTTCTGGTGGCAGACAGCACTTGCCACAGAGAAGCTATCAGAGCACATGCACACCCATGGGGCTCCACTACATCCAGTATACCGGCAGGGAGCAAGGTGTGCCCTGGGAAAGAACAGCCATTGAGCCGTCAGCAGTCAGCAGGGGTGTGCCTTTACAAGTGCTCTCTGCTGGCTGCTGGGCAGAAATACAAGCCTTCTTTTGGTCACAAAGCTGGTGCTGCTCTTCCAGCAGTAAGACGACCACAAGAAAGCTTTAAGTGCATACACCCTTACAATTTGACTGACTGTACTTCAATTGTATAAGCAAAACTATGCAGCTGAGCCCTAAGTTGCAAAGACAAGAACTCAAAATTTATTTAAAGCAAAATGTAAGTCTGCTTGTGCATTCTGCCTCCTCCTGCCTCAATACAGATTTCCATTACATAACCCACAAACTATTTTTGTCTTGCTCAGTGCACAGGATGTGCACACAAAGAAGCATGATTAGTTACAGATAATCAACTCACTTGCTGACCCCAATACATTCTGCCCTAAGCACACCTTGATACAGGAGACATTTCAGCCCTCTCTAGACAATGGGATATGTAACAATTATAGATAGTATGCTGTGAAACATTTATTTTGAGATTTGAGTCATACTGTATTTTTGCTCACTGAATCCTAGAATTCCTGTTAGAAAGCTTCTTGTTGACAAACAGAGTATAGCAAGTACTGGGGTCTCAGGGGCAGCTGTGACACCTTCTTCTGGTAGCCACGCTGCTCTTGTTCTACTCTGCCTCTAGGGTCTCCTCCCTCTTCCCTCCCTTGCCACACCTTTGTTGAATTTATCAGAATATGAAAAAGGGAGTCTGCTCAAAGGTCCTAGAGCAAACCCTAATCTCTCTGACCACTAGTGGCTCCCTCTCAGATCCCGCTGGTCCCAGTCCTAGACTTGCATTAGATTGGCCCTCCTGGCCCATCCATGCCTCCTGGGCACCTGTTGCCTTACGAGTTATTCATGGCCTTCAACTTCCCCTGTAGCCACCAAACCCATACCTTGGAGATGTTGCCATTCAATCACTTCCCCTTGTTAGGGCTTTGGACTTCACAGCCAATGCCCCTTTCCTCTCACTGGGCCTTCTAGCCCAGGTGGACTCCAACCTTAGTCTTGCCTATTTCGGCACTGGGCCTCATGGCCCTGTCTCTGCCCTGCTTGGGCACTACTGGGACCTTCTCCACCCCTGATAGTTCCAACCCAGTCTGCCACTATAAACTATAATAAAGAAATAAGCCCTCTGGCTATAGCCCAAACTCCATACTGAGTCTGAACATAAAACATCTGTTTCCTGGCTGTACCATGAACTCCACACGCTACCCTGAGTCCCATTCCCCTGCAAGCCAGCAGTATCCTACTTGCATTTTCCCAGGATAGCCCAGGTATCAGCAAGGAACTCTTTTGCAGCCTTGCTGCTCAGGAACTCTTTCCCTGGCAGGACCAGACTGCCTTCCCTGGCTCAGGCTTAGGGTTGATATTCCCCCTAAACTTTGCCCCCTTCTGGTCAGGTGTTCCTTTGACTAGCTGCAAATATGTCCCTTTGCCTTAATGAGCAGCTAACTGCATAAACAGCAGAGTTTCCTTCCTGCCTTCCCTCTTGCAGCTAGCGCCTGTTCAACTGCCTGGGCTCTACCAGCTGCAGCTTTGCCCTTAAAGTAACAGGAGACATAGGCTCCATGTTACACAGCACATCCTTGAAGTCTCTCGCATTTCCCTAGAAAATAGTTTCCAAATCTGTGCATGAATTTAAGGAACCACAGAGAAGGAACCACTCGTCACCCATAAATGAAAACAACGAAGTTGTGGTGTTAAAATATGCTTTCCGTTATCTAACATACTGCAGTTAACTCCCACCAGGAACTGTAGTAATGTAGCCAAGAACAAAGCTTCAAACGAGTCCTGAAAATGGACAGCAATGAAGTGAGTTTGGAAAGGGCAAAAATACACAGAGCGATGAATATTAACATTAGGTTACTATTCAACTTCTCTTTGAACAAGGTCTTCAAGGGACAACTGGCCAGGCTTGTAACACAACTTATTGTCCATTAAACACACTAGCAAATTATTTCTTACCACTTATTTAATATTTATATAACCACTTTGGACACCTAAATCTGAAACTTGTATTCTCTCTGAAACATTTCTTTCCAGGCCACATATGTTGGGTTGTTATTACAGGAATCTAAATAGATAAATAACCTGTGAATCTACTAACCTTCAATTATGCCCTGTAAAAGGAGTATTGGAAGCAAACATACTGTACCTTGTTCCAATATCCAGCCAACTTCCATAATCTTTAACCAAAAAGAAAAAGTGCTAGGAAATAAGAAAACAAGTTTGATTAGTACATGAACATTGCACAACTTGTAAGACAACATTAGAAACGTATTCAGATTTTCTCCATGTTTCTAATTATTCAATAAAACAAGGGCAAGATCTTTAAAGGAATGCTAATCTGGATTAAACAGCAAAAATCTAATTCTGACTCCTAGAATAAATTTAGTATTGAGTACAAATGGCTAAGGACAGCAAATTAAATATTTCTATCATGTTTTCTTGTGAAGGGCAAAGAAGACTTTTAATAGACAGCATTGTTTAAGAGAAGCCAAAACCACTCCATTAGAATAATGGTTCTCAGATTGGGTACAATGCCAAAGTGACCTAAAGAACGGAATTATGTCACAGATTTCCTGGTTGATGTCAGGCAACTTTAATCCCTGTGCTTCAGTTAACTATCTGTAAAATGGGAATAACAACACTTTCTTAGTTTGTGTGTACATTTTGAGAATAATTAGATGAGTGCATATGCTAATATACCATAAAGGGGGTCATGCAGTTACCTCTGATAGATTAAAAATATATATATATCCATTTGATAGCAAAAATCCTCTTCCTTAGGTAAACAGCTGATTCAGTCTTGGCAAGCAAATATATTGCAGTGAGGACTGTTCAATTCATATAATTTTCAATAAAATATATTATGATATTCTATTTTGTCTTTTAGTAAATCAAATTGTTAAATCTATACGACTGAATAGTATTTTTCCCATCTATATTGGTGATGGGCAAAGTTAATAATTACACATAATACTATGGCCGAGCACCTTTGGTGTCTGCCACTTTAAGGCCAAGACCAACAAACCCCAACTGGTCAATGCAAGAGGGCCAAGAGGTCAAAGGGCTATTAAGCTCAATGTGAGGGACAGGCCTGGGCCATGTTGCACTATCTGGCACCATGACTGGCCTGGAGGTAGCATCAGAGCTTAAGGAGGCTGAAGGTCCCATCGATGGGGCAACATCACTGTCAAGGGGAAGAAAGTCTCAGTGAGCCAGTAGTCTGGAATGAAGGAGGCTGAAACTCAGCCTCTGGAGGGGAGGCACCCAATGTGGGGTTCAGAGAGTTGGGTCAGTGAGAGAGGACTCCAGGAACAACATATACCCCAACAGGAATTAGACCAAGGGCAGGCAGGCCTGCTTGGTCCTGGGCATAAAAGAAAAATGCACCCTGCTGGGGAAGAGTGGTCTGGTGGGGCTGTCCATGGCAGGACAGTCCCCCAGAAATGTCAGGCCAGTTACCTGCCTGGTGAAAGGCAGGTCACAGTGCCTTAAAACCCCAGCCCCCACATCCTAGTGGGATACCCAAGTCTAGGGACAGGCACAGGGGTCAGACATGTCTCTGGATATCTGAGCCCCATGAGGCGGAAGACCCCAGAGGCCCCAGTGAGAAGGGGGCAGAGAATGGCATCAGTGAGGGGGCAGAGAGTGGCCCCACATAGGGGCCGTAGCGTTGGCCTCAGTAAGGGGGAAGATCAGTTAGAGCTGGTCCCAGCGAGGGGCCTGGAAGGGGCCAGGTAAGTCAGGGTGACGCCCGAGTTCCATATGGGGCACAAAACCCCAGTGACCCCTGAAAAGGCAGACCGAAAGGCCCAGCAAGGGGCTAGGGGCAGAGTCAGCCCAGTGCAAGGCACAACGCCAGTGCCACAGAGTAGGGGAGCTCGAGAAACCTGAAAG